ACCTCCTTCCCCAGTCATTACAATCAAAATCTTTCCAGGGGAGGGTACAGCTCAGTGGTAGAGTGCATGCTTAGCATGCATGAGGTCCTGTATTCAATTCCCATTTAAAAAAAAAAGTTTCCAGAAATTCCCGTATTTCCCTTGGTGGGCAAAATTGTCCTCAGTTGAGAACAACTGGAGTGAAGCAATATGAATGACAGAATCATCTGAAATCACTGAGTTAAACTACATAGATGTTGTCTAATTTGTCAATGTCCAAGCCTGCTCTACTTCTCTGTGTTACTTTCCTTCTGAATGTATTGCTTTCTAATTGGCCACACATGGAACTCAGGGATTAAAAAATATATTTTACTTAATTAGTAAAGACTTATACTCTGCAAGATTTTAAATCCAGAAAATTTATTTCAAGCCCTTCCTTAAGCTGTTCGTTTACTTAGATTCCCCATGCCTCGTAAAGAAAAAAAGAAATTATTCAATAGACCAGCCAAATGGAAGAGGCTTTTATTTGTAAAGAAATGAACTTACAACTGGTCTACAATATATTATTGTAATATAAACAATATAAATAAATGATCCTGTAGGCCCACTAACCTTCCATCCAGACCCACATGAAGCAATGTTACAACAATATTCTATGTGAAAATGTGCAGGTAACAAAGGTGCAATTACAAGCAAGTTTAAGCAGCAGAGTATAAGGTGCTTTACTTTAACAGTTAATGTTGCCATCAACAAACATTTGAATGTTCAATTTTACTTCACTGAATACAGACACAACAAATATGAAAATCTAAAATTCATACACATGCTACTTGTTAATATGAAAGTGCTTTCTTTTTTAAAAAAATACACCAAATGGACAATCTTTTTACATAGATCATGGTGTGCTCTTATAATGCAAAAATTAACTTCATTTTCAGGTTATACATTTTAAAACGGTAGCTACAGACACCAATCTAGTAATGCTAATGCTAAGAGTGCTAAAACTATCTCATTTCCCATAAGGAGGACTCTACTACAATATCCAACATAAAGAATACATCTATATATAATCTTAACATTTATTTTTTGTAAAGATAAAAAATGTTTCCTTTCCCCTTGGTGATGCTTTGTTCATCCTGGGTGGATCAGTGTTTGAGGTTTTAATAATATGAAAGTCCTATTTAGGACAATGGGAGGAACCAAAAGGAGGAATAAAAAAAAATCAGTTAACATTTGCTTAAAGCAACAAAACTAAATTTTAAAGTTTATCACAATTTGCTTTTGTTAACAAAAAAAAAAAAATGTTTTCAACAAGCAAGACGACAAAAAGCACTAATGTAACAAAGAGGCCTGAAATGCCTGACATCAGTGTGAGTATCTATCCTGCACACTGCTGTCCACAACTCCAACCTTCACAAGCTCACCCCTTACTCTGAGGATAGTTTTTGGAGCTTGCTTTTTTTTTTTCCTATGGGAAAAACAAAACCACCACGCTTTTGAATGAGACGGGAATCTAGTTAAATGTCTTGGATATTAGATGTCCAAAATTATACTATCTTTGCACACTCCCACTGATTTTTTGAACTTTAAGAATACACATACAAAAAGTATGTAATAGATATTTTAACAGCATAAAATATTTGAAAAACTAGGTAAATTAAAATATTTTAAGAGTATTAGCCAGTACCATGGAAAAATTTTTTTAAACCCAGACTATCTGGTTACTTGTATGTTAGTGTTTCTCTTTACAGTTTATTATAGATTCTAATCTAACACTTTCCTGCTTTAAAAAGCTGTCACTGTGATGCATAAAAGATCTTTTTAATATATTTTCATTTTGTGTCTTTATGGAGAATGTTAGTATCAAGTGGATGTTAATATATAAAGTTGTGTCAATAGGAATTACACTGTAATTCATAGAATCCCTGGGCAGCCAGGGAGCTTCTACCCAATCAATTCTCCCATTCTGTTTACTCCCCAAAACTTGTCAGTTTCAAGCTCCAAGCATGGAACTATTTTGTCTACCAGTTCTGCATTTTAAAGGAAACCCTTTAACTATATACTACATGTGTGCTTTCTAAAAAGTGTATTATTTGTAATACTACTAAAATTTTATGTAATCTTTCTTGCTTTAAAAAGAAACAAAACAATAAAAACCAAACCTGTTCAGTGAGCTCCTTTGAGACTTGAAGTTTTCAAAAAGTTACTGCACTGTCAATACTGGGTGTAAAGCTTTCGTAGTTCAAAATGTACAGTGAGTCAGCACCAGCTTCTTTGTTTTGTTCTGTCACACCCTGCATAGCAACACCTCTGGAACAGAGTCAAGTGTCAAAATAATTCTGAGCAATATGGGCTGTCACAACAGTTTCAAAATGTAAATCCTAATGTGAGGTACTTTTAATTCTGTAACCTAATCAGGTATATGGTTAATCGATTATGTGAAGCGTGCTATGGGAACTGTAATAATTCACTCAGACCCCCAAGATGTCATGTAGCCTAATCTTTCACCCAGTGCATAAAAATTCCCTCTCAGTTCCAACTTTACATTCAGTACATTTTAAGTAATAATTATTTACATGTTTGTTTACGTCACAATAAAAAATGGGGCGGGGGTGATTTTGTTTACTTATTACTAGTTCATTAAGTCAGGTATACCACACACTGCATAGTAAGTGTTCAAATGGTTTCCTAAATGAATGGATAAATGCATGAATGACAATGTTCAGATGTGTTCATATGTTCAGTGGTTTAACAAGAAGCACTTAGAAAAATGTCCTCATCTGCTCACCTGTATGAATTTTCTACCTTACTCCTTAGGAGAACAAAGGACTGGGGTGAACCAGGAAATGAATGTTCAATAATCACCCTTTAGCAAAAGCTTGTAAGTGTGAAACGAACCATTAAAAAAGGAAATTAAGAGAATTAAGATAAAAGGGAATTAAGTAGGAGAAACTAAAAAGTATGCCATTATGTGGCCTAGAATCATAGCTTTATATAGCTTAAAAACGATTTAAACAAAATCCACACTATGTGCAGTACCGGCTCCATTCTGTATGATCAGAAGAGGAGACAAGCCACAAGCGAAGTAGCCGCTTGAGGCGTCACCACAGCTAACTTACCAACGGGAGGTAAAACCCTCGTTCCCCCAGCCGGTGTTTTACCTTCATTTACCATGTTAACTTAATGATTATATTCATCTATTATTTATTATTGAAGTAGGTTATTTAGTATTACCTAAAACAAAATTATGACTTTAACATAAGCATTCTAAACAAAGATTTTAAGCAAAGGACACTTGGTTTGCTTGAGGCAAGACTAAAAAAGTTCCTTCTTTCTAAAATAGGTTGATGTTCATTTCATTACCATTCCCCACCACAGTCTTATAAACACCAACTTTTTCATCTCCATCATTAAAGCTCCACAAAATCAAGGATTTAACACTGATAACAGTCCCTGAAGTACAACCTTTAAGTCAATGAACGATGGCTACTATCAATGCTTAAGATTACTGGAGTCAATTTAAGTAGGTGGTCTAAAAGGACTTACTTCGTTACTCTCACATTGAAAACTATACCATGTTGACATAAGAGTGTTTAAAATTTATATTGATTTCCTTTTTCCAAATTAAAATTCACTCATTACTTTCTTTAATCATTACTTCTTTTAAACAATACATTTAAAAACCTTTACACAGGTTTTCTTTCTGTGGATTCATACTGATGCCACCAGTATCACTGAGAGCAACTGTATTTTTCAAAGGCAGTAGAAAAAAATACTTCTTGAATGTACCTCTTCTCTAATGTTGGAGGTTGAAATTGTCATCTTTAAGTAAAATTAAATGTTCACAAGTTATAAAAAGGGAAAAAAATGAAACATTTGTAGAAAACATTTCCCAAAAGCTTCCATAAACATGGCGCTTAAGAGCTGTGTGTGCCTTTGTTAAGAGTAGAAGGGGAGAGTTTTCATAAGAAAAGCTGGGCTTCAGATCTGAAAAGGAGGGCAGGTCTCCCTTTCCATATATGTGCACTAAAGTGAAAGTCAGAAAAAGCCAGATGTTTTGCTCTGGAGTATGATGGTAATAATTATATCTGTATTAGTGCTTTACAACTTTCAAAAAAAGCTTTCCCATAGTATTATTTTAAAATAGAGTAAATAAGCTCTGAAAAATAATACATAAAACTTAAAAATTCTTAAAAATTTAGGAAACTTTTCCCAAAGAAGATAATATAATTTTCAACTTTTTATTGAAGAAATGGCTTATATTATTAGTGCTATGAGGGAAACTATATAACGATACATCTTATGAACTTCTAACAAGAGGAATATCCTCCCCAAAGAATTTTTTAAAAGATGTACAGCTTATAATAGGTTGAAATTAAATTTTAGTCAGATTGCATATTTATTTTCCCTAGTTCTGTACTTGTGCTTATTTAATTGAATCACAATTGTTAAGACGAAATCAAATGCTCTAGATTCAGAAAATACCAATTTTGATGAATGTGGATTAAACAGTTCATTTCATGTTCCACACTACTGTGCATCAAAGAAATAGAGGTAGGCTTGTGTTTACTGAAATCCACACAAAGAAACAACTCCACAGCTCTTAGTCATCCAATTCTTAGACTGAGACACAACCCAACAAAATACTATCTAAAAAATCTTTAAAATGCCTTTCTTTGTTAACAGTCCACATGGTTGATTCAACTGTAGTATCTGAAAAGGGATTATCTCTATAATTCTGATAACTCAATTACTGAGTTTTTGATAAATATTCTCCAACTGTAATAGGTGTCACCTTTTTCAGAAGTCAAAAATCACCAATTTATATATCATTAGGGCTATTAATATGCTTCTAAGGGCAGGATCACTTGATAAAGAGAGTGAAAGAATGAGTCTGATTACAGGTAAATCTTGACATTTAGAAAAAACATATCCCGTTTACTGCTGTAACTGGGAGCCAAC